TTACAGGAGCAGGCCCCCCAGAATTCATCTATGATTCATTCTCTGACACTTTCTAATCCTCAAAGGATCCAGGACGGCCTAGACCAGGACTAAGTTGGGCTACTGGGACCCACTATAAGCCTTGGTTTCCCTCACAGAAAGGAGGAGACTCAGATGAGTTTTTACTCATTTGAACAGGCCCCAGTGATGAATCCATTGCTGATTCCTTCTCTGACACTTTCTAATCCTGAAAGGATCCAGGATGGCCTGGCCAGGACTCACTCACACTCCTGGGATCGGCTTCCCTCACAGAAAGGAGGGGACTCAGATGGGTTTTTACCCATCTGAGCAGGCCTCTATAATAAATTCTCTGATTCCTTCTCTCTTGACACTTTCTAATCCTAAAAGGATCCAGGATGGCCTAGGCCAGGACTCACTCATGCTCCTGGAACCAGCTCTGAGATTTGCTTCCCTCACAGAAAAGAGGAGACTCAGATCCAAGTTTTTACAGGAGCAGGCCCCAATAATGAATTTCTTGCTGATTCCTTCTCCTCTTCCTAATCATGAAAGGATCCAGGATGGCCTAGACCAGGACTCACTCATGCTCCTGGGACCCACTCCAAGCCTTGGTTTCCCTCATGGAAAGGAGGTGACTCAGATGGGTTTTTATAGGAGCCAGTCCCAATGATTAATTCATTGCTGATTCCTTCTCCCCTGACACTTTTCTAATCCCCAAAGGATCCAGGATAGCCTAAGCCAGGACTCACTTGTGTTCCTGGGAGAACATGAGTTCCTCAGAGACTCAGCTTCCCTCATGGAAAGAGGGAGACTCAGATGGGTTTTTATCCATTTGAACAGGCCCCAGTGATGAATCCATTGCTGATTCCTTCTCCCCTGATACTTTCTAATCCTCAAAGGATCCAGGACAGCCTGGCCAGGACTCACTCACACTCCTGGGACCGGCTTCCCTCACGAAAAGGAGGGGACTCAGATGGGTTTTTACCCATCTGAGCAGGCCTCTATAATAAATTCTCTGATTCCTTCTCTCTTGACACTTTCTAATTGTGAAAGGATCCAGGATGGCCTAGGCTAGGACTCACTCATTCTCCTGGGACCCCCTCTGAGCCTTGGGAATGGAGGGAGATGAGAGGGGAAACTCTCAGATTTGTTTTTACAGGAGCAGGTCCCACCAATGAATCCATTGCTGATTCCTTCTCCCCTGACACCTCCTCAAAGGATCCATGACGGCCTAGGCCAGGATTAACTCATGCTCCTGGGACCAGCTCTGAGACTTGGCTTCCCTCACGAGAAAGAGGAGACTCAAATGGGTTTTTACCAATCNTTTGGGGTTTTAGAATATAGAAATATGTATAAACAAGATGCAGGGTTTAGGGTGGTGGCTGGTCTTTCTTCTCCAGGGGTTTGGGTGGTATTTTGTAATTGGACAGCAAAGTCCACATTGTGGAACTTGAGTGATTATCGGGTTAAAAGTGAAAATAATTTAGGTGTTATTCCTTAATTGGATAGTTTAGCCTCAAAAGACTGTAAAGAAAGACAGTCAGCCATTTTGTAGCTTGTTAAACACTGCAGAGCTCACTGCTCGTGAGGCTGCAACAAAGTTAATAAAAATAAACATTTGAGTCTGAACACAAAATAAAATCTGGAGCACTTCAATCCCAAGACAGAGGCAGAGGAAAGAAGTCAGAGAATGGACCCTAAATCAGGGCAGAAAGTGGGAATTCTGGGAGCTGGGGCTGAGGGCAGCAGTACCTTGGGCCGGGTGAGGCGCAGCTCCCTCACCATCTGGATGTAGTGCTTTTTCCAGACCCCCTGCTCGAAGGGCGTGGGGCAGAAGTTGAGGAGCCACCCGAAACGCAGGCACTTCAGCATCCACAGCTGGTCCAGCTCGGACAGGTACTTCCAGTGCCAGCTCACCTGTGAAGGAATTCCCAGCCACTTCGGGGTTTAAAGCATCCCAGGATTTTGGATATAACTCCCACATAATCTTAAATAAATTCAGTTATTCTGCACTGTTAATGCTCTGTTTAAACCTTTGATTAAAGCATTTACACCTTTCAAAGCCTTTGTGATTTGGGGTCCTTCCAACTCAAGATATTCTGTGATTCTAAGGAATCTTCTGACCCTTTGTCATGGAGAGTTTGAGTTACACCCACATGAAATGCTGAAGTTCCTAAAGCAAGTCTTAGCCAAGCTGAGATTATTATATATTCTTAAATAACATGGAATATTACATTAGCACAGTAATAATGTCACTGAAAACTAACTTATTAATTTAAAACCACTTTGGGCAGCATCTCACAGCATTTCAGATTTTTGGAGTTTTAATCATTTTGTTCCAAAGCCCATCTGGAATTTTCTGCTTGACCTTCAGGCACCTTAAAGGATCTGTTTTCCTTACAGGATCAAGTGTTATTCTTTGCAAAAGCACAAGCCAAAATCTCTCCAAGAATGAAGGGCTCTGCACACAGTGCAAGGTGTTTTAGAGGAATGTGATTTTTAGGAAGTACCAGGCTTCCTTTCTGGGAATAATCAGCCTTGAAAATGCCACTTTTAAAATGCTTTAGAAGAATTTTAAATTACTCATCAATTCCATGAATCTTGGCCAATCTGGCTTAATTTAGGATCCGAGGAATGAGCATCACTAAGCATTCACCTAAGCCTTCACCAAAAATCAAAATTTTTCTTTTTGTTGATGTTTTTTAACTGTTTTGACCTGGCTTTCTGGAGCCCAGGCAGATGTTGGCTTTTTCTACCTGTGCACATCGACAGAGGCTCCGTGGATCCAGGAAGGAGAAGATGTACAGGGACAGGACTCGAGGGAGCCTCGTGGTAAAATCCACGGCCTCGGTGGGGACTCGGGCCTGGAGCTGCTTGGCACAGAATTTCTGCTGGGACAGGGAGCAGCGTTCCAGCAGGTCCACCAGGATCCTCCTCCTCTGGCCATCTGTCCACTTGTCAAACTGAAGGGGAAAAAAATAATAAATTAGGAGTTTCAGGTGCAGAGAAACCAGAAATTCAGCTTCTCAAAATAAAATGTGGTGAGGGAAAGCGCAGGAGCAGCAGCTTGTGGTGACTCACTCTGAGGGAACAGAGCGCTGGGAACAAATGGAGAGGCTACATGAAAGAAACTCTGAAGCCACAGAATGATTTTTAATCCTGAAAGGATCCAGGATGGCCTGGGCCAGGATTAACTCACACTCCTGGGACCGGCTTCCCTCATGGAAAGGAGGGGACTCAGATGGGTTTTTACCCATCTGAGCAGGCCTCTGTAATAAATTCTCTGATTCCTTCTCTCTTGACACTTTCTAATCCTCAAAGGATCCAGGGTGGCCTAGGCCAGGATTAACTCATGCTCCTGGGACCAGCTCTGAGACTTGGCTTCCCTCACGA